ACCGCCCCGAATCCGCGGGACCTGTGGAAAAGCCAAGGATAATTACCAGAGAAACTATTTTATCTATTTATTTAATTTATCTGCTCATTTATTTATTTGGCTTTCCTCCTGGAAGCCCCGGTCGTCGGCTCCAGGGACGTCACTAGGTTCTGGTACTGCCAGAAGAGTGTGTTTTCAATCTGGAATTAAACTTTCCTTCATTAGGAGGCACGGCAGTGAAATCCTGGGAGCAGGAACAAGGACGCAATGGCTTAAATGATACAACCGCTGCCTTCCCGCACCCCCCTGGCCACCCGTCTTCTCCATCTCCTCCATCTTCTCTGGCTTTTCCATCTTCTTCTCCATCTTTTCTGTCTTCTCCATCTTCTCCTCTTCCTTCTGCATCTTATCCATCTTCGGCCCACATATGTGAGCGCTGGTGCCCTTGTCCTTACAGCACTGGACCTGCTGTGCAGACCTTTCCTATGAGTGCTCAGGACCTTATGGACACTCTCCCTGCAGGAATTTCCATTTCCCCCTGCCACACTGCTGTTACTCATCTCCGTATTTTCTTCTAGTTGCTTCTGAATGACTTCCCAGATGCTTATTCCAATATCCCATGCTCCTCGTTGTTTTGGAGGAACTGGAGTTAATTTAATCAGTATTTTATTTTATTTTATTTTATTTTATTTTATTTTTATTTTGTTTTGTTTTGTTTTACTTTATTTTATGGAAAGGGACCTGTGTTCCCCCCCGTGCAGTGACGCTGTGGTGACTCGTGGTGCGAGGGCACCCGCTGCCTGTTGCAATGCAGCGGGGGGGGCAGACCCGCTCCTGTGGTTAACCGATGCAGCGGGGGTGGCAGATCAGCTCCTGTGATTAACGTGTGACGGCGCACGCATCTGCAGCAGCACGTGGTTTTATTTCTCCGGACCGTTTAAAAACTTAAATCTCTGAAATAATTGTATAGAAAAAAAAATTGAAAGGAAAAGTGGAAGGCAGCAAAGGCAGCTCTTTAGCTGAAGCCACTGGAGCTCAGTGTAAATCACTGGTTTAGCCAAAAGTAGGCAGGCACACAGGACCTTTCAAAATTCTTTCAGTTCCTCCTTAGCTGTCCCAGCTGCCTTGGCGGACTCAACTTTTGATCCCCTTGTGAAAAAAAACATACACTTTACAGCAACAATTACTCACATTTTTCTTTTTTTTTAATTTTCTTAAGTAGGGAAGTTACTCCTACACGGAATTTAACTCGCAAGCCCAGGCCACCGCATTGGAGCACCACTTTCCGCACGCAGCTCCCCATGGCACCTCATACAGCAGCACGCTCATGCATGCGGGTTTGCATTTTAAACCTTTGCCACCTCACTATACACAGAATTTGGTTTGCTTTCTTAAACCTGTACATTGGACCCTATAGCGTGTATTTGACACTGCGTGGACACATCCAGTAGCTGTTACTGCAGCACGGTCAAGAGCATCCCATGCTGAGCCGTGCTTGTGAGGGTACCTTGGCTTCCCAGTGCACTTCTTAGAAAAAATAAGAACAAGTGGTCCCACAGCTGAGACTTGGGGAATAGAATAGAGATATGGGGCAAGAGGATGGGGCCTTCTCCAAGCTGGGGCATGAGGGGATGAGAAGGAGGAGACCTTTGCTGAGCAGAGCGTTGGCCACTCAGCCCTCAGGCGGGCAGCCTGTTGGACCCAGCTGCAGTTTCAGTGGCCGGATCCACCAAACTGAAGCAGCCC